AACCTTAATTTTTCCCTTCAATCAGTTAGCAACAGGTGTTGCAAATCACATCCGCCCCGATGAGACTTAAGTTTGCCAGGCCAGGTTTCCAAGTCATGCCCAGGGGGAAGACTGAGGCACCTGCTTTTTTCAAGACCTTACCCACCTTCCTGGCTCTGGAGAGACATGCATGCCCTATTGTCAGAGAGCTGTTAAATGTGCCTGTGGGTATAAAAACTTGTGGATTAGGAGGAACTTGTAGACTTTTTAGAGGGATCACAGGATAAGTTTTAGAAGGAACTTTTGGAGGCTTTTTAGGGAGAACTTTTAGAAGGAGGAGCTTTTAGAGAATTCTTAGAACTCTAGGAGAACTTTTAAGGAGAACTTTTGAAAGAGAACTTTAAGACAGCTTTTAGAGAAAGAACTTTTAAGGAGAGATTTTAGAGAGAAATAAATCTTCAAGAGAGCTTGTGACAGAAAACTTTTGGGAAGAACATGAGAGGAATGTGTGTGTGAGCCAGTTTACTTCCCTCTCACTCTCAGACTCCTTTTAGAAAAGCCCTACCTACTGCTGTCTAGCCCCTAGCCTGGACCCTGAGCTGGAGAGCATTGAGGCTGGAACTTGAATGCTGTCGTTAATTCATTCTGTAAGTTCTGTCACTCTGTTACTCTAGAGAACCCTGACTAATACAGGAGGGAGTTTGCTTTGTGCCTTATCCAGGTTTCCTCCTGGATGTTTGATATAACAACACAACAGTAATTAATTTACTTTGAGGTGTTAAACGATATGCAATGAATGGTTGGCTAAGGGTGGTTCCTTTACATATGGTGGGGGGGGGGGAGATAGGTGTGAATAAATATGGATTATCAGCCTATAGAGAGAAGTGCTGAGGATAAAAAAAAAAAATCTCTAGTTGTCTCTTCACGGACTCTCAGAATTTACTTAAGATCATGTAGAAATGAAGAACGGAGTCAGGAATAGAATCCATTATCTCCAACTCTGTCAAACTGATTAATAAGAAATTTCCCAGTGAATTCCTGAAAGATTAGGAGCAGCCATGTTCCAAAATGTAAAATCCCTTCTCTGCATTAGCATGGTCCACTAGACTTCTCTTAGATTTCACTTGTCAGCCAGGGTGTCAAAACAGGAGAAACTGATTCACTGTTGCATAGTCATGAGGTTTCCACTTCAACTCTCTTCAGATTAATTCTAACATATTATCACCCTATCATCCTCACCTTAAAAGAAAATTTCTCCTTCCCTCCCTCCCTCCCTCCCTCCCTTTCACTGTGTCTCTCTCTTTCCGTTTTTTGAGACAGAGTTTCTCTGTATAGTCCTGGCTGTCCTGGAACTTGCTCTGTGGACTTCAATTCACAGAGATTAAATAAAACATAAATAGTACAGCTTAGTGTTCCAGACTTGAGAATTTTCTTTCCTGCCATATTCTAGAAAGCAGTGTTAAAAAGAGGGAGGATTACTCATGGAGATCTGGACAGCTTAAAGGGCAATGAAGTGACCCTTACAGTTCTTCATGTCCCTCAAAAACATCCAGTGATCACAGGTCCCTAATGACATCCTTTCTATGCAAAATCTGCTGGAAACAGCACTATGTTGCTAGCACCTCTGGGAACTTCAGCACTCTCCAAGATTACAGAAGGAGCAATGGGAGTATTTGACCTCGGAAACTACTTGATGCCAATTACTGCAGGAAAAAAAAAAAAACAAAAAAAATAAAAACAAAAATAAAAAAACAAAACTGACTTTTATTTTCAGTTTAGGAGTTGGGATTTATAACATATTTCAATCAACTCGAAGCTAACAGCTTTGATTACAAATCAATGTTTCTTTTCGCACTTGAAGCTGCTTTTCCAGCAGTAAAGGAAAAGGGCTTAATACTGGTTACCCAGAACCAAAACCTGTTGCTTTTGACAACACAGGTCATATTGGATCACAGAGCAAAGGGCATCAGCTTAACCTCTGCTCCGACCCTCTTCCCACTCTAGTTACCTATTAACATATATTGTAGGAAACCTAGCTGACTTTTCCTCCTCCCTTTCTGCTTTGTTTTAGGAGATATTTTAGTTTTTTAAATATGTATGTTTTATATAATATATATTATATATTTTGTGTATACATACATGGTGTGGGGGTGGGGGCGTCCATGCACACTTTCACATGCACCAGGGTCTGTAAAAGGTCAGAGGACAATGGCCTAGGGTGCTTGGGCTTGGTTACCTAATGAACAATCTCCCTGACCTCTTGTTTGTTTAAACCTCTACTGCCAGTATTAGCACATCTGACCACTACATTTAACAAAGAAGAAAAATGCCAATGCAGCTTTGCAGGACTCTGAACTCGCAAACATTTCTTTCCAGGCCTGAGTTCAATACTACAAAACTAAAATAATAAAAGCCAATAATGGGCTAGAGAGATGACTCCCTGGTTTGAGTGCCTGTTGTGCAATCAGGAAGACTGGAGTTTGGATTCCTATACATATGTGCAAATGTACCCACATACATGAACACATACACACAGAATAAACACAAAAATACAGAAAATATATTTTTTTTTTCTTTTGGTACTATATTAGACATTATCCGTATGCTGAGATGACGTTTTTTCTTCTCATTTTTGATGTATTTTCTATTTTCCTAAAGTATGGTTACTTCAGAAATGGTACAATTTTCACATCAAAACAAAACCCAGCAGGACAGGGAGTCTCATGTTACTTGAAACAGTTTATTTAACATCATTTATCTTGAATTGCTGACCATGTTATTAGGCTTTATGCAAACCACACTGAGCCCATAGGTTCATTCAACTAAGTAAAATTGGTTAGCTTATGCCCTTTACATATTACTTTTTTTTTTTTTTTTTTTTTTTTTTTTTTTTTTTTTTAAGATAGAAAGCTTTTGAGCGTGTTCAGCTACCTCTGTAAACAAACCAACCTGTCTCCTTCGGAACTGTAAGGTCACTATTCTGAAACAGTGTGTGTAATAAGCTGTGTGTAAACCGATGACACCCTCCAAAGCTACTGACAGTCACACAGCAGAACTGTTGTACAGAAGGCTACTTCTGCCATCTTAAATGTCATTTCATTTTCTAGGGACCATGATACTTCTGAGCACTGCAGAGATGAGGAAGCTTACAATCACTCCAGACATTTACATGATTCCCAAGTTACTCATTCACATAGAAATCTTGAACAGCACTGCTCTGGGGATCAGAGGATCAGCTTCTAGCTTACAATAACAGCCATTTGTCCTGTTGTAGCCAAGACTGTTTCCACATTGACTTCCCATCTTTTTACTTCCAGTATGCTATTATTGTACGGGAAACACGATAATCAAATATGTATATAAAACCCAATGTTTCCCTGCTGGATCTAGTTTTCACAAAACAGGAGCTGTTTTGTCTAAACTCCAAGGCTCCAAACACTGATACTTCAGAAGCTCATGATGGAATGTCATTGCTGTGTACCTAGTAATTATTAAAGGCTATGACTTTTTAAAGGCACCGTTCTGTCAGGATTGTGTGTGTATGCACATCTGTTTACACACACAGAGGCCAGAGCAGGACATATTTTTTCTCTATTGATCTCCACCTAATTGCCTTGCATTAGGTAATCTTGCTGAATGAGAAATTCACATTTTTGACTGGTTGGTCACCCAGCTTTAGGTATGCACTTGTCTTCACTCTCTAATCTGGAGGAACAGGAACATGTAGCCATGCTCAGCTTTTTACATGGTCACTGATTTTAATCTAGGTCCTCAAGATTATAGGTCTAGAGTTCTTACCAAGCCATTTCCTCCACCTCAACTATTTTTTCCAATGAATCTGTGAAAAATTATATATCTATTATCTTCAAAAAATTACTAATGAAAAAAAGATAAAATGCAATTTCCTGTGCTTCAAACCTTCCTATCACAAGTTTTCATATAATCGTGAATTTTGTCATTCATCTGGCAATTCACTTAAACAATCTCTACAAAGTACATAAAGTAGAAAGCTATGCCAACCTAGGAAGTAATCATATGAACCCTAAGGCTACTTTTAAAGTTATCGAAAAGATCGCTTAAAATATGCTTCATTTTGAGAATATGTAATTAAATGTAGAATCTGGCAATAACTCTTTAAAACTTAATAGTTGTGAGATATTCTATTTTTTTTGTTTTGATATTCTATTTTTTCAGTTCTACCACTTACTTTAAGAAAATAATAAAGTGATAAGTAAATCAAATTTCAAGAAACAAAGACATCACACTTTAACAAATCAGCTTTAATGCAAGAGATGAACCCAGAATACAGTGTACTTTCTTCCATGTTTACTCACGGACTAAGACAAAGTGAAATGCCCTATGTGTACCAGACATTCACAGTTCTTTTAAATAATGAATACATTTCCTAATTTGTTATGTATACATAATAATCCCATACTTATGAGCTTTAATAAAATTAGAACATTTTATCACAACTGCTACTTTATCCATATAAAGGGCAAAGAAAATATCTAAACTTGCAATGTCCTCCTACTTAAATCCAAGTTAACTAGTATCTTCATGTGATGGCTAATCTTGGCTGTTGACTGACCTAGAGTCAACTAAAAAACAAGCAGCTGGCCACTCCACTGTGGGATTCTCCTGAATAAATTATCAAGAGGGAAGTGTACCATAAATGTGGGCAGAACCCATGGGAAGAAGAAAGATTTGACTTTCTGCTTACTCCCCTTCCCTCTACTGACAAGTACACCTGTCCTGTTCCTGCCATTGCTGCATCTCTTCACTCATATGAGAACCTACTTCCAGGCTGCCAGCATGGTTTAGAGATCAGCAGTTCTCCAGAGAATACTCCAGGCCCTCAGCACCAGGCTGGCACTTGAGACATCAGTATCGTGAACTGAGTAACCCCAGGCTCTTGGCCTCTCTGGTGTGAATCAGCCATTCGTGGACTACCTAGACCCTAACACGAGCTAATCTGATAAATCCCTTTTAAATCTGTATTCATGCTCTCACTTTTGTTCATCTCATGAACTATACACAGCAGAATAAGAACACTTTCATAAATTATCAAAACTTGACTTTATTGGGGGGGAGATAGCTTTAACAGATATGAAAATGTTTTCTTTGTTGATACACCATGAAGGGGGGGGGATGTGTTCTTCTATAGGAGAGGAAAAAAGGGGAGGGAGGAAGTTTAGAGAAGAATTATGACAGGTAACATATCACAAAGTTTGTCAGCCACCTTAGTGAGGAGAGTAACAATGATCTCAAAGCATTCACCGTTGAACTGCTCAGTAACCCCAACTGATTTTCAAATTGGGAGGCAAATTACTAGCAGTGAGTTCATCAAATTTGGATCTATCTTGAACTGGAACACTATAGAAATCAAGAACGTCTCTGACCCTGCACATTTGATGAAGCCTGGAGTTAGGTACTGCATGGCCCAAGTCATTGGCTAAATGTGCCAAGAGTCTGAACTTCACATGACCATCATCCAGGGAGATATCCTGCCAATTACTAGGAGGAGATGAACCCAGAACTTCGTTAATACATGATTCCAAGCGGCTCTGGAGATCATCAGGTGGAGTATATGCTCGGCTTCGTAAGGGCGGGCACACCAAAACAGGTTCTCTTTTCACTTCTTCCACTGCCTCAGCCACCACAGGCTCTTTCTCTTTTCTGTAAGGACCAAAAGCAAACATGTGAACCTTTGGCTGGGTATCTTAATGAAGCTAATAAATATTTGACTGAAACTTGCCTTGCAATCAAAATCAAGTATTTTGTTTCTGAGCACAGTGGAGAGCAGAAAAAAGTAAGATTATCATCTACCCTTCAGGTGTGCATAGTTGAATCAATTGTTTGAAAAGCTTAGTATACATTTTGCATATAATTCTAAAAGTAAGTAAAGAACAAAGATAAGGTAAACTGTTCTGTCTTAGTTAGGTTTCTATTGCTATGACAAAACACCATGATGAAAAGCAACCTGGGGGAGGGAAGGGTTTATTTCATCTTAAAGTTCCATATCACACTCCATCATTGAGAAGTGTCAGGGCAGGAACTCATGGCAGGAACTGATGTAACACAGGTCATAGAGGACTGCTGCTTACCGCATTGCTCCCATGGCTCACCCAGTACCACCTGCCAAGGGGTGGCACCACCTACAAAAAGATGGACCCTCCCACAATTTTCAATCAAGAAAATGTACCACAGGCCAATCTGATAGGGATATTTTCTCAACGAGGTTCTCTTTTTCAAATGACTCTAACTTGTATCAATTTGACATAAAACTAGTCAGCATACCCTCCAAGATCTAACCCCAATGCACCTAGCTAAATTTACCTCCCACCAATTTCTTATATACATTATAGGACTAAACTATATTCTATTTTCCAAAAGAATTCCCACTTTCCTGACTCTTATTAGCTCAGGTTATATATCTTTACATGAAACAGTTTGATCTTTACTTATGGAAATTATACTGACCCTAAAGTCCTAAGACAAAATGCATGCCTCCTAAGAACTGTAACCTGACTTCTCTAATCAAATGTAAGTTCCTTTGATCTTCACAGCAGTCTACACTGCCCAGTGTATCCCATCCTATATATGTTTTGATTTTGAATATATTCTACCTCACTTTTTTGATTGGACAGTTCCTTGCTGTGTGTTAGGGTTCATTCTGTTCACTTAAGATAATTAGTAGCATCCTGGCATCACTTTATTTGATGACAGAAGTACTCCTGTCCTGAGTCACAACCATGGACACTGCCAACACTCTCTTGAGAACCACCACACCAGATTTTAAGATCTTTAATATAATGGCCTATTTTGTTAATTTGGGATTCTTTGAAAACAAACTTAACAACTGCTTTAAAAAGAATCTGGCTGGCATACCATTTAAATGTGTTGGTGTGTGAACTACCTAAGTAATCCTGTTTCTCATGGAACTGGCACATGACTGGAACTGACCAACCCTCGAGAAACAGAAGATCAGAAATGAAATGTCTGACCAAGAAATATACTTTATAATGCAATTTACAGCTTTGTTCTATCAACTAATCCTTTGTCCTTTATAAATTTTTTATTAACATCTCAATGTTACTACTTGTGATGGCTTGAATATATTACCCTAAAAAGTTCTTGTGTTGGATACTCGGTATTTCTAATTAGGCCTTTTTAGAGATAATTAGAGGGAATGAGACAAGGAAACTGGGAACTCCATAAAAGCATTAGTGGCTATGAAGAAGAGGAAGAAAAGAACCAAGCTAGCATGCTTGCTCTCTCTCACTATATACTACCCTCTACTATGTAATGAGGCAGCAAGAAGGCCTACAGATGGAGAGCAGATAATATTCACAAGCTACTTTTAAACATTTTACTATGTCAACGGAAAAGGGACTAATACTCCACTGAAGTATTCCTAGGGTAAACAATATACTGCAATAGTTTCCATTTTTGAAGAAAACTAATCACTATTTTTTAAAAAAAAGGTTCATTTATTTTCTACCCATTTATCTCCCATATTCCTCAAGTCCCTTCCACTGGATTTCATTGCTTTCAGAATAAAATGTAATTCAGGTAAAAGATTTAACACTCCAAAACATAGTGTGGCTAAACCGACAACAACAAAAAGAAAACAAATCAAAAAACCCTAAGGCCTGTAGAGATGGCTCACTTGTCAGAGGATAGGCTCACAACAAACAAACAAACAAACAAACAAACAAAGTCACTAGTAATACAAGAGAAAAAATAATAACAAATCTATGAAAATTAAACAATATATCATTGTGTCAAAGAGGAAATCAAAAAGGAACTTCCAGACTATTTTGAAATAAGGGACTAGAGAGATACCATACATTCAAGAAAGAACTAATATCAGCCCTTCTGAAACTCTCCCTAAAGTGGGAAGAAACACTTCCCAAGTTATTTTATGAAACCAGGATAGTAGAGATAGACAAATATACCTCCCACCAACCCCCCCAAAAAAACTACAAGCCAATATCTTTGATGAACACAGATGTAATAACCAATAAAATAGAAGCAAACCAAATGCAGTAACATCAAAAAGACAACTACACTATGATTAAGTAGAACACTGGCTTGGACTGAAAAGATTGTTCAATACACACAAACCAATAATGATATGCCACATTAACAGAATAAAAGTAAAAATCACATAATCACCTCAATAGAAGCAGAAAGTCTCCGATATAAAGCATAACTCATCCACAATCAAAGCTCTAAACAATATAGGTATAGAATTGGCTACACCCAGATAAATATAAATTAGGAAAGACCACAGCTAAAATCATAGTGAATGGGGAGAAAACTACTAACAAAACAGTTTTCTTTCCAAAATCAGGTACAAGCAAGGAAGCTCAATTTCTGAATATTTTTGGAGGGGGTAGGGCGATCCTTCCTATGTAAAATACACTGGCATTGAACTTATTCTCCTGTCACAACTTCTGCAAACCACTATAACATCTTATTAGAAGGCATACTCAAGAACTTTGAGAAAAGAAATAAAAGGCAACCAACTCAGAAAAAAGTAAATTTGTCTCTACAAATGACAAGAGTCTCTCAGTAGAAAACCTCAGATTGCACAATACACACAAGAAAATACTAACCCAGTAAAATTTCAGGATACAAATTAACATTTAAAAAAAGTTAATACTTTGGGGGCTGGAGAAATAGCTCAGCAGTTATGAGAACTTGCTGCTCTTCCAAAGTTCAGTTCCCAGTATCCATATCAGGTTGCTAGCTCATAACCACCTAGAATTCCAGCCCTAAGGGATCTGATGCCCTCTTCTGGCCTTAAAGGGTATCAGCACACACATATGTACACATATGTACATAAGTAAAATTAATCCTTTAAGTCAGTTGTTTCTTTAGAGAAATAATAAATTATTCCAAAAGAAAATCAAGAAATCAAGTCCGTTTACAATATGGGGGGGGGATATTTAGGAAAATCATCTATATACCAAAAACTGCACAATACTGATGAAAGAAACAGAAAACACACATAAATGAAAAGACATGCCATATCCAAGAATTGAAATCATTTTTTATATTATTTTACCAGTATTATTACTTGCCTGCTCTACTTAACATATTTAACCCAATACCTACCAAAAAAACAAATGGCATTTTTGCAAAAGACATATAGAGCGATCTTAAATCATGAATAGCTGCAGCAATCTTGAGCACAAGCAATGTAAAGGAAATCATACTTGACGATTTAAAATTCTATCCCAGAGCTATGGTGATCCACAATTTAAAGGGGGGGGGGGTGTAAAGAGATGGAATTAGCCTACGTTCATATTTTAGGTTGATCAGTCCTTATGGGTCGTTTGTTTGCAGACACCACACAGCGGGCCTTTGACTAAGGAAAGGCGAGGGAAAGGGCACCGTGTTGCCTGCCATTCGGAGAGGCCCTGCCAGGCGCGGAAACGCAGGCCCAAGCTTTTAGCTCGGATTCCTACTCCATGCTAACTCCCGCAGGCTAAGGATCAGGGTCCCATCTTTAGCCTGTGAACTCGCCCCCTCAGCTTCTGGTTACTTTCGTGGGACGTAGCCCATGGAGGGACCCTCAGCCTTACCTGGATCGAGACCAAAAGTCTCTACGTGTAGCCAAGGGAACGTTCCACAGCCAGCTCCTTCCAGCATACCGGCATACACAGAGCGCCGCCATCTTCGACAAGCGTCCCTGAACGCCCTGACCTGCCCAACCCAGCCAATCAGATGCGAGCTTACTGCAGCGGCCCCTTATTGTTGCCCATTCCTGTGCACACCGGGAAATGTAGTCCGGTTGCCGTTTGCGGAAGAAGGCGGTGGCGCGCTCCCGGGACATGTTGGGAGTTGTAGTTGGGAAGGTTCCGGGTAACGCCTTCTGGTCCGGGGGTGGTCGGTGTTAGCCCTGCTTGAGTGTGAGGTGGAGAAATTGGCAATCAGAAGACTACAGCGAGGCCTGAAAGACTGCGTAGCCAGGCAGAAGACGGGGCTTGAGGCTGGGGGACATCCAGGCATAATGTCTGATATGTCGCTGGCAACATGACCGCTCCGAGATCGAGGTAGGACCTCACTAGACCCATCGAGTGAGACTCATCTTGGCGGGGCCCTAATTTCCAGCAGTTGGCTAGGCCTCACCGGAGCCTCATTGCTGTTTGGCTGCTGTTCCTGAACGAGGAGATGGCGTCCCCGAGCCCACTGCTGGAGCCAAAGGTGAGTTGCCCCTTCGAGAGATCTCCGTTATTTCGCCACTCCTGAGACAGCCAGGCCGCGCCATCACCTCTTCCCCAATCCCCATCAGCTGGCCTCCAGCCCTAAGGGAGGACCCCAGCCAACCGCCGGTGTACCCCTTGCTCCGGGGTGCAGTTAGTTCACTTACAAACTGTCCACAGCGCGCCCTCCCTTTTTTCTCTCTTTTTTTACCCCCAAGAACAACTTGATAAATCGGCTGGAGGAGAAATAAGACTGTTCCAAGTTAGTTCTCAATTGTGAGTTCCCCAGGTGTGACGGTATTTTTGATCCCCTCTGTCTTCTGCAGCTGGCATGATGACTTAACGCAAGGTGGGTGCTTAGGGAACTAATGGAATGGAGTTGTATTGGGTCACAAGGTGGTGTGGGTAGCCCATTGGAAGGGGACAGCAAAGTGAAGAAAGCTTGGAGAGGTCTGGAGGCTGTTAACTAAAATTAAAATAGTAGTGGTGTTACTGTGTAATAACTAAACCAGAAAAGGGCCTTCAGTTTGGAAGGCATGGCTTCAGATCAGTTCCTTACCAGTCTGAGGTGTCTGGCTGTACCTGTCAGTTCCAACAGTTGGGCACCTTTTGATACTCTTACTTAACTTTGTTCCTACTAGTGAACGGAACCATGGTAAGTAGAATTGTGCTTGAGACAACAGGAACTGACTACAGAAATCATACTATTTCAGCAATTGCTGACATTTGAAGATATGGCTATGCTTTTTTTGTTTGTTTGTTTGGTTGGTTTTTTGTTTTTGTTTTTGTTTTTTTTAACCCAGGAGGAGTGGAATTATCTGGATCCGGCTTGCAGAAGCCTATATAAAGATGTCATGATGGACAGTTATGGAAGCATGGTCTCACTGGGTAAGACTGTACTGTTTCTCTAACTAACACATGTAACAAGTTGCTAACACTCACATCCAGAATACTTCAATCAGTATTAACTAATGCCAATACTGTTTTGTTCCAAAACTCTCATTCAGCTCTCAGCCATTAATTATTGCCATAGCTCTCTTATCCCTGGCTTCCTTGTAACCAAAATGAAAGGTTTTCTAGTTTCCTAATCTCATTCCTGTGTGGTCCATCTTCCCACTGCTTTCCTCCCACTCCTTTTCAGTGCCTTCTGGAGCCTGGGTTTCTTTACACAGTGTTCCGTACTCCTCCTGGTCCACACTGAAACCTGGCACTTTCCCAAGGACACCACTTCTCTGGCAAACCTTCAAGTGGGGGCTGCTCACTCTCTCCAGTCATCCTTCCTCTTGCTTTGTCTCAAGGCTGAGAGGCTAAAGTTAATTGTTCTTCCAGCTCTTCAGCACTGATCCCAAAGCATTTGTTTTCCACCTTCCAATAAAATGTCCTTGTGTGTCAGCAGCCTTACTCTGCTCCCCATTCTGTTCCTTTTTATCGCCATCTGTCAACTTTTTTTTCTTTTTTCTTTTCTTTCTTTCTTTTTTTTTTTTTTTTTTTTTTTGTCTTATAGTCTTCACTGCTTAACCCAGTCAGTAAGTGAGCCCCAGTGAATCTTTGTCATGCAGACTCCAGGAACCCTGCTTCCATGCTTATTAACTACTCACATCATTGATCATGGTCATAATTTTGTCATAACAAGTAAGTCTGGAAACACTACCCTATTCTCTGACAGTTGGTTGTTGACTATAACTAAACAAAGAGGTGAAACAGGCCTGCTTCTTGCCCTGGTGGAGGTTAACTGTAACTTGCTTTTCCATATGTACTTCGCCTTTCCACCTAAACCTATTCATTCTCGTTGTGTCCATGTCTTCCCAATGGTTTCAGTTTTTTCCTGACTTGTGAAGATCTCCTCTAACCATCAGCATGTTATCTGGCCACTTTGATATTACGCTATACTTGTTCTACAAATTTCAAATCATTTATTTATTATAAGATCTGTCCCTTTTGCCCCTTTCTTCCTAATACCCAAGCACCACAGGAATAATTCTCTAACTAAAGGATCAGTGTCTTATAAGTATCTAGTGAGGAGGAGATGTTTGTTGTTTTTAGAAAGGATCACTCTGTGTAGCCCTAGTTGACCTAGAAGTCACTTTGTAGACAAGGCTGGCCTGGAGGTCACAGAACTCCACCCACCTCTGCTTCCTCAGTGATTAGGAATTCCTAAGGGATTAAAGGCATGCACCACCAAACCTACCCTAGTGTGTGTTTGTGTCTCTAGTTTACATTGGGTTTAAATATCAGCAATTGTTTTTGTATGTGATATTCTTCTTTTCCTATTAATTTTTGTAACAATTTCAAAATTTAAAATGGTCTCATCACTTTGTGGGCTTCATCTTCTATTTCACAGACAAAATAAAGTTCATTAACCTGAATTTTTAACTCCTGTGCTCCTTATCCAAACACCCTAAAAACAGTTCTGTCTTTTCACAAGAAACTGAGCTATAGCCTCATTTCTTTGTCCCTTGCTCCTTAACGAAATTGGGAGGATGTTTCTGGGGATCAAGCGTAGGGCCTTGTTTATGCTAAGCAGCCTTTCTACCAGTGAGGTACATCTCCAGCTTCTTTCCCTTTGTAACCTCTGCTCTTATGATAGCTTTACACCATGGCCTTTCCCACTTGGTGGAAAAGAAACTTACCTGAACCAGTGTCTTCCTCTTGCTGTTCCTATGATTTACTTCTTCTCTTTTCCCACCAGGGATTTATAAGTTCATATATTTTTTTGTACAGTGTTACCTTCTGCTGTTTCTGTGAATTTTGTCTTGGCTCCTCAGTTTCCCTTAAATTGTTCCACAGGGATTTATTAACATCATTGTCAGATACAGTAGACTCCTTTGAACCCTATTCTACCCCTTTCTGAATGCTTATGACTTTTTTGTTGTTTTGTTTTGAGACAGATTTTTGCTTCAAAGCCTAGGCCGGCTTCAAATTCTTAATATTCCCACTTCAACCACCCAAATTGCTGGGATTTCAGGCATACCACACTACACATTGTTTGCTTAAAACCCTGTATTGCTTTTCTGTATTTGCTTGTGTTCCTTACTATCTGTACCCTTTGCTTGGAGGACCTTACCATAACTGCCAGCATGAGCTGGAAAGCCCCACCTAAGAAAGGTCATATGGGACCCACCTCACTACCTCCCCTCTGTAAATCCTAGCTCTGCCACTGCCAGTTTTGTGACTGTGGGGGAAATAATTTTTATTTTTCTTCAGAAAGTCTAAATAGTAATGACATACTTCTTACATTGTTGTTTCTATGCTATTACTGAGTTAATCTGTCCCTAAAGTACTTAAAATACTGCCTAGCGGGTAATAAAAATAATGCAAGTATTGATTGATGTTTCCTTTTCCCCCACTTCCTTTGATTGCTGTTTTCCTTGGCTTGTCTGTTGGGCTCCAGATTGACAGTTCTTTTCCTTTGGTAGGTTACGTCTGACAGGTATCACATAGTCCCTTGAGATCTTGGGGATCTTCTCTGCCCAGTTAATACCCCCACTCCACTCCCTTTGCTTCCATTTCTTTCCATCTGCAAATCGTTCTCTGTTAGTTCTCATTACACACTGCTCACTCAACACTGAGCTCAGCATCATCTTTCTCATTGAATGTTTCCAGCACTTTACATAAAGCCAGTCCTGTAGTATATACTTCTTGAATAACCATGTATCTGAGTAAATTACAAGTTAATTTAAAAACTGTTTCTCTTAGTTGGATTATTGTCTTGTGCTAAACTAGGTCCTGGCCATCATGGTGATTTTCTACTAGTCTTTGTTTAAAACTTCTGATGGTTCTATAACACTAAAACTTCACAAATTCAACCTCTAGATGACCTCTTCCCCTTATGCCATATGTCTGGCTCCCTGGCATCTTATTTACATGGGGGATGTCCAGAAGGATACCTGGTTGACAGAACCAGACTAGTGCCAGCGCTACCTGTACCTCATTTGTGGGAACACACACTGGCAAAGGGAGAACAGTGAGCCCTTTGGTGATCTTATGCTTTCAAGCTTTCGTCTTTATTTAATGTTAAATACACCTTTGCACTGTTTATTCTTTCTCCTTCCACAGTCTCTTCATGATCTTCAGCAGAGCACTCTTACGCCCTCTAATGAGTGTTCCCTTAACTAGAGACCACTGTTAATCTACTGGTCCAGTGTAGTGTGCTCCTCCATTTCATCTGACTATTTTTCAAAACACAGCTCTTTCTTTATTTCATACTTTTTTCACTTGGTTTTTCTTTAAAATCATAATAGCTACATTGATGATGCAGCTAATAGCTAATAGCTCAGTTCTTTGGCTTTTCTTTTATTGGATCTTGTCAGAACTGATAGTCATTGAGCCTACAAGACCTTGGACTCAATTTTATTTTTCCTTTTCACCATGTTCTCAGTTAAATTATTCACTCATTGAATAGTTATTAACACTATGCTAGGCCCAACAAATTCTATTCTTTCCCACTCTCCCATTTTTTTAAATCAAACCA